CGCACCTGCGGGCCCGCCCCCGGCCAAACGCCGAGGCCGGACGGCTCGGCCCTCGAGGTACAGTCACCTTCCCTTCCCCTGCCATTCCGCCCACCCCCCGCGCTCAGCCGACGGAGCCGCCGCCGCCACCGCCGCGCTTCTCGGCCGCCCCAAAAATCTAAAGGGTTCAGTCTCCAGCACCACAACCAAATGGCTGAGCCTCCCAGGCCGGCTGCGCAGCCCGCCCATTGGACCCTTCCTCCCCACCCGCCGCCAACACCATTGGCTGGTGTGTGGACACTCTCGGCGGCGATTGGCTAGAACTGCTGCCGCTCATCCGCAGGGCCGCGGATCCCGCCTCCACGGTGATCAGGTTAGTGTGCGCCGCGGGTGCTGGGGGCTCGAGAACCGAGCGGAGCTGGTTGAGCCTTCAAAGTCCTAAAACGCGCGGCCGTGGGTTCGGGGTTTATTGATTGAATTCCGCCGGCGCGGGAGCCTCTGCAGAGAGAGAGTGCGAGAGATGGAAATGGACAAACGGATTCATTTAGAGCTGCGGAACAGGACGCCCTCTGATGTGAGCATTTGCCAAAAATATCTCTGTCGGTCCATTCTCCTACTTTGTGTATGTGTGTGTGTATGTGTGTGTGCGCGTTGGGGGGGAGGGACTTTTTTTAGGGGGGCGCCCGGGAGGTGTGGGCTTGGGGGTCGGACTGCAAATGAATTGCAAGGTTGTTGGGGGGGGTTGCAATGCCACCCGTGCGTGTTCCGGCTGCCGCCGCCGCTGCCCTTGGTGTGTGACTACCTGTGCGTGTGCTCCCGCGTGTGCGAGTGTGGGTGCGAGTGTGCACCCATCGGGGGCCGGCGGGCGCACGCGCCGGGGTCGGAGAGAAAGGGGCGCGATCGCCCTCGGGGCCCGCGGCTCCCCGACTCCGCCTGGGGGGGAGGTGATCGGGGGATGGGGAGGAGAGGGGCTGCCTCCTGGAATCTACAACAAAAAGGGAGTGTATTTTATAAACGCGCCCCCTCCCGCGCCGCCCCCTCCCTCTCCCCCTCTCCCGATCGCACGCACACAATAAGTTTTGGGCTCCGCGAGTCCGGTTTAGTTTTGGTAAATGTGGGCCGAGGCCCCCCGGGGGCGTGTGGGGAGGGGGCCGCGCGGAGTTGGGGAGGCCGAGTTCCGAGTGCGCCTTCGTCTCTTTGCAGTGATGAGGCGAGAGACGGGGGAGCCATATTTGTAACTTTGTAGTGTTCGTGAACGCGCCCTTTCTCTCCCTCCCTCCCTCTTCTCTGCCTTCCTTCCTCTGCTCCTCTCTCTCCCTCACTCTTTCCACCCCACCTTGGGGCTCGATGCAGAGCTTTCTCGCTCTCCTTCCTCACGGAGGACCCAGGAGGAGGAGGGGAGGGATTGGGGAGCGTGCAGAGGCACCGAGGATCATCCCCGCGCTCCCCACCTCCCGCGATCGCTGTGCAAGTTGCCCAAAGGCGACGTTACGGGGCCCGTTCCCCCAGCTCCCTGCTCACATGCCGGCCCTGACCCCCCACCTACCGCACCCCGGCCCGAGCTGCTTTCCCCTGGGTGGGCTCCCCGGCAGCCATGCGGCGCCAGGCTAATAAATGGGCACGGAAACTTTGTCAGGACGCGAGCTGCCCGGAGCCGGCGCCCGCGGTGGGCACCGGCCAGGCCCACGCTAACGCGGGCGCGGCGGACGCGCAGCCTGGGATGGGGTCTGCCCGCGTCGCCGTCACGCACTGAGCAGCAGCCAGAGGAAACTTACGCGGGTGGGGACGCGAGAGCCCACCGCCGCGGAGGGGACGCAGAGGGTGATGGCTTGAACGCTGGTTTTTATTTCTGGCTCCCTCTCGCTTCCCAACGCGCGTGTTTTCTGCGAGTTGGCGGCACAGTGTTGGCGACCCGTGGGTCTTAGGCGGAGACGCCGGCCGAGTTCCCGTAGGTCCCTCGCGGGGACCAGGGACGCGGTCGGGAAGCGCCCCTCCGCCTCGGTGGCCGGGGTGGCGCGGAGTTTGGGGAGCAGCGCGCGTCGATCGTCGCCCCTCCAGCCTAGGAGCCTCGATTCTCTGGCCAAGCAGGCCGGCTTCTTCCTCTTGCCCTTAGTTCCTCCTCCAGACCTGAGCGAGACTTTCAAAAACAAGATCGTTTTTGTCGCCGTCCCCCACCCCCCTTCCTAAGGCAGCTGTGCACGGTGGACGTGCGAGCGCCTCGTGGCCCTCGGGGCGCGAAGGGGGCGCCGTGGCGCCGGCTGGAGTTTCCGCGGACCCTGATAGCTGCGCCCGGTTCCGAGCCGGCGTTGGGGGGCTGGGCGTGGTGCTGGGGGAGGGGCGGCCGCGATCTTCCCGCGTACTTTCCGGAAGCCCCCCGCGCCAGGGGGGAGGGGAAGCGCGCCCGGGAGGGGCCGGGGTCGCGCCCGGCGGGTGTGCGGGCGCGTTGGCCCGGAGAACCCGAGCGACACTGCTGGCCAACCCGGAGCGAGATCGAAAGCGGGTCGAACCGGCTCTTTAAACTTCCCGAGTGTGCGCGAGGGGCGGGGCGCGCGCCAGGAGCGGGTTCTCACGCTGCGCCCCTCGCCCCGGGTCCCGGGCCGGCGTGCGGCCCCCGGACTAGAGGCGGGGTGGGGCGCGGGGGCGGGGGCAGTTTGGGCACTTTACGGGGGGAGGGGGAGCAAGCTCGCGAAAGAGGGACAAAAGGGGTGGGGGAGGAGAATCTTTTTTTTTTTAAATAAACGTCCTTAAGGCCAGCAGTGCCCTGCGTGCGCCCCTCCCCGCCGCGCTCCCCCTCGGAGCCCCCACACACCCACCTTCGGAACCTCTCCCAACTCGGATCCGAGGGCTGGTGGCCACGCCGCGACGCCGAACTAGGACGAGCAGCCATGTTTCCTGGGCTCCCGCGACCGACCGCCCCTCCCCCACGGCGGGCGCGGGGCTCGGAATGCGGGGCGCGGAATGCGGGGCGCGGGCCTGCGGGCGGGCAGCTGGGGGCTTAGGGTGCGCGCGCGCCGCCGGCCTGGCCTCCCGAGCGGGGCGCGAGCTCCAGGTGTTTTATTTTGGTTTGGAGTTTTAAGAGGCAGGCCCGCTGGGGGCCGAGCCCCAGGGCGCCGAAGCGTTATTGGGGGGCGGGGGCAGCCGCCTGGGCCCTGCGCGCCTGTGGCACGACTGCCGGGCGCTGGGCTGCCATCTTGTCACCGTGGCTGTTGTCGCTCGGGGGGTGGAGCGGAGTCTTGCGCCATCGCCCCGACGGCTCTGGCGCGCAGGCGGCAGGGGAGCTGGCTCCAGGGACCCCCCCGACCCCCGTGGTGCTCTGCGCCCTTTGGGGTTTCCACGCACGGCCTGCGGCCTTGTTGGAGTCGCGGCTCTAGGTGGGCGACGATCCCCTCTGCCAGTCCCCCACCCCCATCGGGCTCCCTGTCTCCCCCGCCCCTCTGCGCTCGGGTATTGCGCCGTTCCTCCTGCAGGCGGTCTAGACGTAGTTAAATGTGGCCTTGAGGACGAACCGACCGCCCTGGCGTTTGCCTCTTCGGCGGAAGTGATAGGCGATGTGCTAAAACACGAACCAGGAGGTTTCTTTTGGCGGACCGGGGGTGGGGTGGGGTGGGGGCGTTGCGCGCGCGCGACTCTAGTGGCCCTGGCTGAAGCCAAGGACAGCAGCTGCTTCTTCCCCGGGAGGGAAGAGTTTTCGGGGATGCGCGGGGAAACGCCCTCGGGGCTAGGCACTCCGGGAAGGTAGGTAGAGCTCCGTGTCTTAGGTGGGTGCTGCGGCACCCTGCAGGCTGGGGGAGCCCTCTCGCTCCCCCATTTTTTTTTTTTTTTACCCCCCAGCGGAAGGAAGGCAGCTTCCTACAATAGTAAACATGACTCTGAGCCCAAAGGGAATAAAGGTTTGCTTTTGGAAAGAAAGTAAACGGCGTTTCTCTGGCTATTGACTTAAGACCCCGGAAGTGCATTCTTGAAATCTAATGCTGGTCTCTGGGACTCTGAGAAAGCGGTGGCAGGTCCTGGTTAAGTACTCACGAGTTGAACCCTGCTGGCTGTATAGAGACTTAACTTTCATGGCAGTGTCCGGCAAAGGCTGCCCTAGAAATCGGCTTTGACCTTTGGAATACATCGCATGACGTTTTCCAGACCGACTTACTTCCTAATAGCCTGCTGTTAACTCCAGTTTGTGCAAGCCAACCAGAGATCACAGACAGAAAATTGAGCGAGATCTCCAAAGTCATGATCAGCTGAGTTTTGGTAACTGGTTGCCGCTGGTGATTGTAGTTTTGATTTTGGAGGCTCCGTGGAGAAGCTGGGTTCTAAAACTACACAGACCTGGGCTTGAGGTCTGTCCCCCACTCCCAAGAGGTAGGATCCTGGTCCACCTGACGTGGTGCAAGTTACTTCAGCCCACCTCTTTGCTGCTTGATTTCCACTAAAATGGGGACAATAATCCTGTTTAATCAGTAAGTGACATAACTGGTTTGATTTGGCCCTCAGTAAATGTTCAGTTTAGGATGGTGTTATTCCCAGAAAAATGTTGGGGTTCAGTCAGGCATAACTTCGGGCTTCGTGGTTTAGGATAACAACAACAATAATAGCAAGTGCTTACATAGCCCCACGCTGTGTCTGGCACAGTGCTAAGTGGATTACACGAATCAATTAATTTATCCCAACAGCACTATAAAGTAGGTGCTATTGTTATCCTTGTATGAGGCTTAAGGAAATTGAGGCAGAGAAGGGTCATCAGAGGGTGAGGAAGTGGCAGATCCAGGATTCAAACTCAGACAGCAAGCAAAGTGCCCTTGTTTGTAAGGCACTGTGGGGAAGAGCTTTTTCTTCTCCGACTTTGGATTGCTGCCACTGTCTACAGAGACTGGGTTTCCTGCTATTGTAGGCCCTGAATGAAGACTAGGCAGTCGCCTGCTTGAAGGTACTAGGTGGGGGGTGGCCCAGACCGCAGGCTCTGGGTGGACATTTCAAAGGGAAGCCAGGCATGGGTGTGGTATAGCCAGGCGGGTCTGGTTAGGCTGAAATGAAACCTGGCCTGTTAGGTGCTGGAGGATACTTTCTGTGTAATGAGAGGACAGGCAGAGGCTACTCTTAGGCAGTGGTTTATATGGGGTCATGCAACAATGCATTTGGTTTTTATTGGTCTCCACCTGCAGCCAAAAAACTGAACACAATTTGCATGTCCTTAGTATCTGGGACATGGCATACTAATAGCACCTCGGATCATCTCACTTAATCCTCCTAACGACTCTTTAAGGGTAAGCCCAGCCGGGCAGTGGCATTCTGGATCAGCTAGGGTTGGGAGAGTTCAAACTGGCAGGCAGCAGAGCAGAGCTCTGTTCTCTCCCTGTAAAGCCAGAGGCCCCTTGAGTGGATAGGAGAGACTTCTGGGACTTAGAATCCCCAGAGAAGCATATAAAGTGTGGATTCTCGGCTCTGCCGTGGCCGTATCATCACAGGATCACCAAACTGCCCTTGCCTGTTTTGGTACCGCCCATGAGCTAAGAATAATTTGTACTGATACACACTGTGATCTGTTTTATGTGGAAGACTTAAAACTTTGAATCCCAGTTAAGCAAAATATCATTCTCACCCCTAAAAAACATACTTGGTTCGTTAACAGACCTGTATTACTAAAAAGAAAGAAAGAAAAATTGCACTCAGTGTATTCTGAGTTTTGTTAATAAAAGTATTGTGGGAGTGTGTGTTCTCTAACAAAAGTGTCTGTGTGTAGCGTCTCAGTTTTGTCTCCTGGTAAAGTTTACTGCTGCCTGGTTCCTTGCAGAACGAGCTTGCTAAGCTTTGGTTTAGCGTGTTGGGGGTGGGGGGCCGTGCTGATACGTTTTCTTTTAAGCATGTGGCTGGCCACACATTTGGGTAGCGCACAGGGAGGGCTGTCCAAGACCTTTTCTGAGTGCCTTTTAACCAACTGGAGCCTTACAAAAATCAGCCTCATGCAAAAATCTCCTTAGAGAAGCTGTCCCTGTTACTGCCTTCGTCTGGAGCACCCCTCTGTCTTAGGGAAGAGACTTAGAGCTGCCAAGGTTCGAGTTTGGGGGCTGCTGTGTACCCAGTGAGTAGTGTCAGGCTCAGGGCATAGATCGTTGGAAACCGTTGCTCATCCTGGAATCTCTACCTTGGGCCTGCCGTTCTTCCACCATGTCTGTTTGCCGGGGAAAGAGCCAGTGGCGAAGCGGCTGTGAGTTCAGAGCCCTTATTTTTCCCTCTAGCCTCTTGGGCCTAAGCTCTTGAGAGCGGAAGGAATGGATAAAAGATTGGCCAGGCAGAGGCGGGAGAGGAGGAAACAAATTGAAGGAAACACACCCAAGTCCCGGTAACTTCATCCTGTACTTTAAGAGTCAACAAACCCCAGACAAGATCGCATAGAGTGCTCATGAGGCGTCTCCTCCCCACTGTGCCCTCTGCCTTGGGGTGTCACTTGTTGCTGAGTGTCTGGTCAGATGAACTTGGCCCTACTCTCTGGCCTGTATCTAACCTGCTCAAAGAGGAGGTTTCTTGGCCTTGCTTCTCCCCCTCCTCCCCCAATTCTTGTCTCCCCAGCCCTGTACCAGCTGAGTTTTCTAGTGTGCTAGGACCTGCCCTGCAGGGTGCCCAGCACCTCTGCCTGACTCTCACACACAGGTAGAGAAATGTAGGCTTGATCTCAACCCGCCATTACACTGAAATATAATTATACAGCAAGTGGTAAGTACCCAGCAATGATGTTTTCATTAAAGCGAGGGAGTCTGGCAGCGGTAGAAATTGACGAATGCACCTGTTACTGAGAACGTCTCATAAGATTGGTTAAAACTAGGTGAGCAAAACACTTCTGACCCTGCAGAACCTCCCAACAAGGAAACAGCCTCTTTCCTGCTGGGTTTTGGATGCTAGGTCTCAATAAGATGTCTGTATCCTGCATGGCAGGCCCTGCCCTGTGCTACGCCTTGCGACCTTGGTTTCCCTCAAATTGGTTTGGTTTTAGCTCCAAGACTGCCCCCTATATTCCTCTGCCACTTCCTTTACCGAAATTTCTGTAGGCGAGAGATCTGAGAGATCAGTTTACTCTACTATTTACTCTGACGTGGATTAAAGCCCCAGCCGTTTCCCAGAGGTGTTTAACATTTGGAGATTCCGGTTTGGTGAGGAAATTACCAGAGCACTATTAAAGATGGGCTGATCATCTCAGCTCTGCTCTTAACTAAGCTGGGCAAGTTGCTTGGCCTATGTTCTCTCCACACCTACAAGGGGAGTCTTGAATTAGATCTGAGGGGCTCAGGCTTTTTGATGGGAATAGTCACAGAAAGGTTGCATAGTGTCACCCAGCATGTATACACATAGGTTTAGAAATGACAACATGCTCTCTTACTAGGTAGAAAGACTGATTCATTTAAAGGGAAAATGTGCTGGCTGGGAGCCATGCATTGATTGCAGTTCTGGTTAATGTTTGAAAGACATTAAAAGGTGGATATTAAGGTTCCTTTATCATCAGATACTTTGTGGCTTGGTTTGGGGACTGGGTGCTTTTCATAGCCTGTGGAACCTCCACACGGAGGATTAGTGGTGATTTCCCCTTTTCTAAACCAGCTTGTTCCTGGGCCCCCTTTCTCCAGCTACACTGTTTTCTCCTAGCCTTTTCCTACCCTGTAGAGCCTCCCATCATAAGGAATCATTATCCCCAACTCCTGCCCCAGACAAAATTCCTGGTTCTAGCCAGGTGTGGTGTGTACGCCTGTAGTCCCAGCTATTCACGAAGCTGAAGCAAGATTTCTTGAGCCTATGAGTTGGGCAACTTAGTGAGACACCATCTCAAAAAAAAAAAAAAATCCAAATTGGGGCTGGTGTCTAGTGCAGAGCTTACCTAGCATGTGAGAGGCCCTGGGTTTGATCCCCAGCTAAAATAAAAATATAAATAGTTTAGTGTTGGCGTTCCATGGGTTTTCTGCACTGTATACAAAAGTTGGTGTGTGTGTGTGCGTAGGTGCATTTTTAAAAAATTCCTGGCTCTGCCAGCGGCCCTCAGGCATCCGTGGACCACACACTGTGGAGACTGCTGAGCGCACCCACACTCCCCATCCCCCAGACAGGGGTAGAGAGGAGACTGGGCATGCCTCCTCTCCTCCACTCCCAGCCGGAACACCTAAGCGAGTCCCTTCGCCTCACAGGTGGCGCTTGTAAAATCAGGACGTCACAGTACCTCCCAGCAGTCCCGTGAGTGGTAAGCATTCTACAAATGTTAGCTGACACTCACTTTCAAACAATCAACAGGTGCGTTTTATAACAAAGTAACACGTGTTCTCCAACTTTCAGAGAGTTAACTTTTACCCAGGAGCAGGCCAGTGCTCTTCTTCCTAGACCTGCAGCTTCTCCTGGG